AATTCTTAACAGTTTTCTTGTATTGCTAACAAACAAGGGGCACAATCATACGTTCACTCTAGAAATGAAAAAGGCACTCTTAATTATTATAGGAAATCACTAGAATGTTTATACATAAAACATTGAGAACCATTGAGGTACACTGACCTCTAAAGGCGTAAGTAATTCAATGGTTCTCTGTTTAAAACCTCAGCTGCATTCCTCTTGCCATATGTATTGGATCCCACATTGGTAGTTGAGAGAACGGCACCAAGGTTGTGGCTGGAACGAACTAAAAAATTTGCCAGGCGTTGTGTTGCACATGTGGCAGTGTTGCATTTCCGTTTGTCCATCTGGTGATTGGTAATGCTGAACAAATATGAAAGGTTAGAGGCTTAGAATTGGGATTGGATACAGCCATGTGACCCCAAATACTCATACAGATGAAAAGAAAAGGAAATATTTTCACAGAAGTAGCTCAGTGTTTTGGTTTGCAAACATCTGGATGACAGATCCTTTTGATACCTTGAAGATGCAACAGAATCAATTTTTGACTAGGAAATGATACAGCCTCTTTCACTGTAGACAATGTTTCATTTCCCAGGATAATTCTTCCTTTGGAAATTCAGAATACATTTCTGATGAATAATGATAATGATGATGATATAGTGATGATAATAATAATAGTCTTTCTATTATATTCTTCTAAACCTTGTTGATAAACTTATTTTCTGACATATAAAAAGTATTCAGAGTGTAAAATTTATATATAACCCAGAATATATAAAAATTGAAATATATGAAAATAAAAATGTGTATATTTACACATATATATTATTTTATATTTATATAATTTTTGTATATGTATAATTTTAATTTCTCAGATCTTTCCAACAAGAAGTAAGCAATATTAGCTAATTTTTGTTAAGTTCCTTGAAATAATGAATCAGGAATGTCAAGAAAAAAATATCAGAATGAAATTCTGCAATATACAACAAGATGGATAAGTTTTAATGATATTATGCTAAAGCGAAATAAACCAGTCCCAGAAAAACAAATACTGCATGATTACACATATATGAGCTATCTAAAATACTCAAATTTGACAGAATGGGAAGTTGCACTCTATGTATTTATAGCATGTCAAAATATATACTACTGTCATGTATAAATAAAAAGAACAAGTAAAAAGAATAAAATACTCAAATTTGAGACTTAAACAATGGAATTGTGTTTACCAGAGACTGCGGGATGGGGAAATAGAGAGTTGCTAATCAATGGACATAAGGTCTCTATTAAGAGGACTAAGCTGGGGCTGAGACTGTGGCTCAGTGGTAGAACACTTGCCTGACATGTGTGAGGCACTGGGTTTGATTCTCAGCATGGCATATAAATAAATAAAATAAAAGTCTATCCACAACTAAAGAAAATATTTTTAAAAATGCATAAGCTGCAGAGCACTGTGTCTACAAAGATAATGCATTATCCACTAAAAAAATTAAGTGTTCTTACCACAGTAAAATAAAATGGAGAATTTCAGATATTATAAAGTTAGGTGTTATAAAGGGAAATCAATTGGTCACCTGTTCAGACACTCTTTGCATTGTGGGAGTTCTATTCTTAGCACAAATACTTGAACATTTCTATCTTCTGGTCACTTAGATTTTATGCTTTCAATGATTTTAATGAAAGGGCTAGGGTAAATGTTAAAAACAAAATCTTACCTGGCCCAACCTCTTAAAAGAGCCTGCCAATTCATGATAGCACTGTGGCTTGAGGACCAAGTCTTTATACTTGAGCCTTTGGTGGTACGTTCCAGATACAGACCATATACCAGTGTGCTTTCAAAGTGGTATTTTACTTATTGACTTATTGTAGTACTGAAGATTGAACCCAGAGCCTTGCACATGTTGAGCTTTATCCCAGTCTTTCAAATTGGAATTTTAAATGGATACAGAACAATAAGATTGCTTTACTCATTTGGGAATCTTTAGGAAAATTATAGAAATACTTCAGTTTAACTCCATAGAAACCAAAGTGTTGCTAAAAATCTAAATATAAGTAATAGTTATGAGACCAAAATCTCAATGTTCAAATGTGAATAAATATACATATTTTGGGTTAAATACAGTGGATTTATCTCAGTGTGTTTACTTTGTGAGGGGGAATATTTCATTATCTCTCTCTGGAGAGAGCCTAAGTGTAAATTTTTTAAAAGTTTCATGTGAAAAAAGAATTTAAAATTTTTTTACCACCTTATTATTTTCCAAATGTAGAAAATTCTTCAGACAGAATCAGGTGAATTAAATATTTATTGACTCTAAGCGTGTGCAGACAAAGCAATTATTCAGGCAAAGGAAATCCAGGCTGGGATCTATTTTTTTTTGTTGTTCTATATCTTATTCACACTATTCTAATATTTTTTTGAAGGTATAACTTTGAACAATGTGCATTTCAAAAGGATAGCTTAATGCTATAAAAAGTTATAATGCTATTTTCATACATCAGGCATTAAGTTCTAAATGATTTTTTTTTCTTGAAAAACAACAGGAATTGGAATTTGGCCCTAACACCTCCAACTAATAGATGTAAAGCAGTAGGGGAAATTATCAGTCACATTAGGAAATTCAAAGGGGCTATCTATCCTAAGATGTGTTTAGCCAGTGCTTGGAGTATGAAATACTGTTCACTAAATGCTGAGCTGGGCTTTGATAATCAATTGGAAGGTCAGTAGTAGAATTTAAAATTATTCTAGGAAAAATGTTATCTTATTTGAATTACCTAGAAGGACCACTGTTCTCCATAAAACAAATGGTAAAAACTTTCATGTTTGTTTGTTTCAGAACTGTGAATTTTTTTTTTTCCAAATATGCTGTTCGGCATGAACAAAACTCTACCCAAAACAGTCATTTGGTTGGAAAATTATGGCTGAAATGGTTAGTAAAAGGCATTGCACCTCCACATTCAGGCATTTTTTTCTCATTGACTACCTGGGCAGACATGACTTGTCTGTCTACCGAATTATTGAAACACTAAAACTACAGACCACTTATAGGCACATACACACCAAGAAATTCTTGAACACAAGAGAATTTAAACAGCAATGGCAATAAGCTAAACTACAGCTCTTAAATTGTGTATGTTTAAAGACATTTCAGTTTCAGGGTTTTTTTTTTTAAATTAACATTTATTTGTGGGAGTCTGTGAGATTCTACTGGGAGAGTCTAGTGACTATAGCTTAGCACTGTGAAATTATATTTTTGACTACCCTCTGATTATTTGCCAGATAGATACTTACAATAACATGTAAAGGGAAAGTGTGTGATCCTTTGCCTTAGTCATGAGTAAGAAGTAAAGAAATGCCAGGTGTTGTGGCACACACCTGTAATCCAAGCAACTCAGGAGGCTGAGACAGGAGGATCTCAAGTTCAAAGCCAATCTTAGCAATTTAGTGAGCCCCTAAACAATTTAGTGAGATTCTGTCTCAAAATAAAAAAACAAAAATGTTGAGGATATGGCTCAGTGGTTGAGTACCCCTGGATTCAATCCCTGGTACAAAAAATAAAAGTAACCATTTTCTGGTTTGTAAAGTCAGTTTATTGCTTCTTAATCCTATCTCATACCTGTACAAATGTTGCAAAAGTCTCAAATGAGATGATTGAATTTGATGAAGCAAATGACAGTGAATAATAAATATATATTAGCTTCATTTTAAAAAGGAGTTTAAAATTTGAGATATTTCTACAAAGGTTTTCTTAGCTTTTTATGAGATTTATAGAATGTTATATAATACTCAGGATGACTAATCATTCATCCTTTAAAAAATGACCAAATATACTGATTTCAGGAAACACATTAAAAAGCAATTTGAAGAATGCCTTATAAGTATACCTAATTCAAAGTAAAAGACTGTGAGACCAGCATGATTTAATTTGATAATAAGTAATGTTATGAATTATTCTAATTCTTAATGAAGTTCACCTCATAATAAGCACATATTCATAAAGGCATATTTATAAAGGTACTTAGGAAATGTCTGTATCTAATGAAAGAAAAGATCAAGATATTAACACACATACTAAGTAATATTGTTAATTTTTCTGTCATCATTCAATTGTTCTGCTTATTAGAAACCTCATGTCAGTTTTAAAGTTATTTTTATCCATGAAAAACCTTGAATTTTTATCCATGAAAAACCTTGAAAATTACAGTCAGTTCTGAGAACATCTGTAAACTAAATAAGCCCTGAAATGACAAAATCCTTTGATGATTCCTACTATTTATTATAAGTAGTTATAGTAGAAATCTTTACACATTGCAGTGAACCACCACCCAACAGAAAACATTTTAAAGAAAATAAAGACAACATGATAATGTTTCTAATGAGAAAAGTTCAAATATGACTAAAGCACACTCTTTTTAAAGACAGTTTGAATTCTCCTTGGTCTTCAAGAGTGTATATGTTCATTCTTACAAGACTATATGGGCAAAACTGATTTAGGCACAAACAAATCCTCATGACATTATTTATGTCAGATGCATGAATCTGGACTCCAAAATCTTTTATATAAGGAAGAAAACCTAAGTTTTAAAGGTTTTCCATTCATAACTTGTAATTACTGCTAATCATTTCACCTGATGTAGTTTTTATACTTCCTTAAAACTACCCTTTAAATGATATAACACCTTTAAATAATAAGCCTTCCAAGGAAATCTTGATGCACAGGCTATATAATGAAAATACTTCAAGAATTATTAATCTATCTTTATAGCAGCTCAGAAGTAATCTCAAGAAGATTAACATTTTATCATTGTTTTATTAACAGAATAGCCATCAATATAGAATGAATCTCCAAATAGCAAATGGCTTTTAAACTAGTTCCTCTTAACTTCTGAAAAACTTGAATTTGCCCCCTGATTATTTATATACACTTTAATATCCAGAAGGAAATGTAAAAGTTTGGATATTTCCAAAGCCCTTTAAGAAAAAAAAGTCTATGTAAATATACACAAAATTCTACTTGATATAAAATACATGCTTTACTTAATTTCTAGTTTGTTTCAATATCAGGTTAATAGAGTAGAAATGACTACCTTTTAGTTTTTCCTGCTTCGTGTTCTGGCTTTGCCCCTCTAAGTTCCAACAGAATATTTCTTGATAAAACTGGAACTATCCATTCCTGTCTGTTAGATGTTCCAGCAGAGAGATTTATCAGTCACTGACAATATTCTTTAAAGAACACAGAATTCAATGAACAACTGAAAGTCTTTAAGTACTGCTTGTAGCATAATTTCACCAGAAATCTGATGGCACAAGGGCTGTTAGTTATATAGCAGTATTAAATACTAATTTTCCCACACTTTTAAAAGAAATTAGATTTTAAAGTTAGTTACTAACCTTTCAATGGGGGTAGCTTTCAGATGGTTTAATGCCACAAAGAGCACAAGTAGCACTACTGGTAGCTTTAGGACACACATGGCTTCTTGAATTTTCTGAAAAGAATAATCTAGCAGTGAAATCAGGAAATTTCTTACATTGAGATTGATGTAATTTTAAATCATAACCTAATTTTAAAATTAAATATTTTAAAACATAATTTAGAAAGACCTTAATAATTCTTATTGGTAAAGTCCTTTAATACTCTTCAGTTTTCCAATATTTTTAAAATGTTCATTTTCCCAATTTTCTTCTCTAAACAATCTAATAATTTATATTTTCATAATCAAAGTTTAGCTTTCCTTTGAAATAAACCATATATTTAACTTCAAATCTTCTTTACTAAATAATACTTTCCCAGAAATAAGAAATTCCTTACCTTTTAATGCTTCAGTGTCAGCAATATCAGAAAATGCCTTTGATAGCAAGAAAGCTGCATAAAAACAATTCCAAACTTGCATTCACTAGAGTATTTGCCCCCTACTTGCTTACCAATAATCCAGCTCTTATATACCCTTCACACCTTTCTCAGCTCTGACATCAAACAGCTCAGAGACACTTTGTCATCAATTTCCATCCCCCATAGAAAGTGCCTCATAGAAAGCAGAAGCAGATGGGTATTATTACATTAATACATCAGTAAATATTAACACAGCAGATACAGAGTGTCTCTGTGCAGTTAATGATGTGTAATATACAGCAGAAGTTTCAATTTGTCATCTTTGTAAAATGTAAGCAGATTTTCAAGAATTACATGTATGTCATAGTAAGAACTTAAAAAAAGAAGTAATTAGGAATAACAGTAAATGTGCTTTTATGCAGAGGAGAGTCAGAGACAATGAGGAAATATAACTAAATCCAGATGACCCCTGTGGCTTAATCCCATGACATTCAGAAACATCTTGAATAGAAGGGTGAGGTTTATTTTTTTTAAAAAGTATATAATAACAAAAGTTATTTACAGTGAGGTGGGGCAGATTTAAGGCATAAAACAATGATTTTACATCTACAAATTCATATGTCAATATTTAAATAGAGATGCACATATCACACATAAATATACATAAAAACATATATATATACACATAAATACATACTTATACACTCACTCTCTCTCTCTCTCTCTCTCTCTCTCTCTCTCTCTCTCTCTCTCTCTCTAGCAGTTTTCAGGGACTTTTCCTATTAGTTAGTATACAGAAATATCACAGTTATTTTGAAGGAAGATTTTTTCCTTTTTAACTTCTTAAGAAAATTATGAATGACTTGGTTCAGCAGAATACTCTCTAGTTTGCCTTTTGAAATAATTTGTTATTTTTTATTTTCACCAAATGTGCTTCCCTTTTTCTTGTGTTTCTTTTTAAATTTTTTAAAAATTCTTTTTAGTTTTACATGACAGTGGAATATATTTTGACATATCTAACATACATGGAGTATAACTTCCCATTTTTGTTTTGTACATGATGTGGAGTTTACTGGTCATGTATTCATATATGAACATAGAAAAGTTATGTCCAATTCATTCTACTGTCTACTATGAACAGCAACTAAAGGAAACTCAAACTGTCAGTGAAACGGTATATGTTTGTGTTATCTAAAAATGATGGAAGTTCTCCAAGTTAAAAAAAATAGTAATCTTACTGATTTCATGTACTTCTTTAAAGCTTAGTAACACCATTTGAGGGTGTTAGAAGAAATTTCAAGAGAAAGAGGCTAACTTGTTTCTAATACTTGCTTTAATATTCGATGATTCTGCAATTTTAATATTTCTGTGAAGTTTACTGATATTCCAAAAGGGAAGAAAATGAAATAAAGGTTTTGGAATGTCAATGATTTCTTATAAGATAATGTATATAACAGTTGTATATAGTAGTTTAGAAATTATATAGAGGCCTAGACATATTAAATATTGTCCAATGTCAGACAACCAATTAATGCTAAATCCTGAACCAATTCTCAGATTTTCTTTCTCATGGTTGAGCATTCATTTAGTCCTAGATCCCTGCCTCTAATCTACTTATTTATTTATTTATTTTACTTTCATAGCCCGTTTTCACTCTGAGATGTTAAGAGTGCCAAATATTATGTTAAAAAATAAATTCTCCCTCACTCCCTAGGAAGTTAATATTATAAGAAAAACTTACAAAGGACCTGATATTTTTACTATGTGTCAGGCATAGTTATTTAATTGATATGTGATACCTCCTTCATCTTCACACCTCTAAGGTAGGCAAAATTTGCTCCAATTTATAGCTAGTAAAACTGAAAATTAGAGAATATAATTGGTTTGCTTAAGGTTACACAGCTACTGAAGGGTCAGAGTGAAGTTCAAATTCTCATCACCTATACCAGGATGTTTATTTCTTTGTTAGAAAGGATCTCTATTCCCATATACTGAATTGCCAATTGCTTTCTCTAAATTAGGTATCTTATTACAATACCTTGAGTGATTTGGTTATAGCCAGATGTGGCCTTATGCTGATCTTGTATAATTTTTAGGAGGATCAATGCCTATTCTAATATCAAATTACTTCCAGTTTTTACATACTTCCTATATTAATGGAAGTGAAGTTAGTTTATGTGGTCATTTAAATCCTCTTAACCTGGCATCTCCATTACTGGGTCAGGAGCTCCTTCCTGCAGAACAAATGCCATCATTGCTCATCTTGTGTCTCCTAGTTAGAGTGTGAAAAGGTTTTGGCAGCTTTGTTCTCCCATGGGAGCTTCTTAAAAATGCAAAACTCAGGCCACATCTCAGACCCACTGAATCAGAATGTGAATCTTTCCTTAGTATATATATTAAGATTCAGAAAAATGTCCTGTAATATATTACATTGATTCAATAAATGTTTGTTGAGGACCAACTCTATGGCAGGGATTATTATAAGTAACAAAGATATGACAGTTAATCAAGAAAATTTCTGTTCTTGTAGCTTAGAGTCTGTGGAAGAAATAGAGTAAGCAAGTGAACAGGTAGATACGCAACTAAAATGTAAGTGCTACAAAAAGAAATAATATAGTGGTGTGAGAAAGAAAATGGTGGAATTTAAGTTGAATTATCAAAGCAAAAGAGCAATCAAAGAAAGAGTAAGAGTAATGGAAATTGTTCAGAATCAGCAAAGAACATGTGTAAATTCATCTGAATAAAGGCATAAATGTTTAACAATGCTGACGATGTAAATAGGAGCCTGAAGGGGCAGGTCACTGAAGAAGGCTGACTTAAGGACTTTGGGATCTCTAGGTGGCAATCTGAAGCTACTGAAGGGTCTAAGCAGGATTGTGAAATGTTCTGCTTTGCATCTTTAAAACATCACTCTGACTACTGTGTGGAATGGACCAGAGGATGGAAAGAGTAAAACCAGGAAATCTATTAGGAAACTACATCAAGGTTCCAAATAAGAAATGATAAAGGAAGTCGGTGATGCCAGTAAAGTTAGAGAAGTAGTAAATGCATTCAAAATATATTCAGAATAATAACATGATTTGACAGTGGAATAAAGGGGAAACATGAGAGAAGAGCAGATTAAACTGAGTGTTAGGATATAATCCACAATATAGAATAGTGGCCTTTAACATATCAAATTTTAAATAGCAAAACATTTTTGTATATCTTTTTAAAAATAACTTTTACTTTCTCATCATATTTGTATATGCTCACAGTTTTAAAAAATTGCACAGTATTACAAGACTAATAATAAATTGCAATCTTTTTCCTCACTTCTGTCTACTGTCTACTTTTCCACATGTACTCAACTTTGTCTTGTCGGTTTTTCCATATTTCAAAAATATTTTCTTCTCTGGATGTTCTTGATTTTTCAATTTAGAATGTCATAAGCTGATAACTTTTCTTAGAGGATAAAGATTCAGCACTTGACACCATTTTCACTTTTCTTACCCCCTTCTAAAATACTTTAAACATCTTGGATTATATCCATATTAGGTGTATAATTTTTTTGATTTATATTTTAAACTTTTTGTAATGCCAACTTTTGAATGTGTGTAAAATTTCAACAATTTTAACACATGGTCTATCTTGCTTTCTCTTTATTCTATCCACTTTCTTCCCATCCTAGACTGGATTACATAGAACAAATCCTAGAGATCATATAATTTTCACACTGACTTTATTTAAAACAAACTCTAGCAAACATGTAATGTTACTTGTTTATGTTATGAAAGATAAGAATACCTTATATAACATAGCTATAGAACCATTACCACATCTAAAAATAAAATTTAACTGTAGTTCCTTAATATCATTAAGTAATCCATTCTGCATTTACATTTTCTATGTCTAAACATTTTTAATTGGTTTGTTGGACTTAGGATCCTAATGAGACTACCTTTGGTTGCTCTCTCTCTTCTGACCCCTTTAATATAACTCTCTATTCTTTTTTAGTATTCACATTTGTTATGTAAATAACTAGGTCATTTATTATGTAGAATTTGACATATCCTGATTTTGCTGGTGGCATACATGTGATATCATTTAACGTGTTTCTTTCTCACTTTTATTTCTTCTCTACTGGTAGAGGCTTGTTCTAGAGGCTTGGTCCGATTCATATTTCATTATTTTGGCAGGGATACGTCTCATGTGATGCTGTTTATTTCCTGTTGTGTCATATCAAGGGGCACATAATAGCTGTTTGAATCTCTTTTATGATGATTAAGAATGATCCAGCAGTTCAAATGGCAGCCAAGTTGTTCATTCTGAGTTCTCCATCAGCTTTTCACCTATTGGTTTTTACAGGTGATAACCTGGAATCATTGTTGTTGGAGGTTTCAAGATAATGATAGTCTAATTATATCATTTGTTTGACATTTATTAGCTGAAATTCTTCTATAAAAGAGAACATCCTACATTAACTATTCTATGACCTTTAAGCAATTTTAAAGACAAGGTCATTATTTTTATCTTTCCCTTTATTTACCAGCTTTCAGAATGCAATCACTAGTTGGTTTCTTCACATCCTCAAAAAATGATAAGAGGATTTTTGTCTAGTCTCATGAACCTATCTATGTATTTTAGTAACATGATTTTTGAGCTCCTTTATCTTTTTGATATTCAGATTATCCTGTGTTGGACGACTGTGAGTCCCGTCTTGTTTCCCTTTGTGTCTTTCTGACAGACCTCAGTACTCTGGCAGCCTCATTGTTTTCTGGTGGGTGTGCATGCTTTTATGTGGGCATTAGTACTGTTCACTATGGAACCAAATAGGATACTATTGATTATGTTTACTTTCTTATTCAACCTTTTGTTTTTCTTCTAATTAATATTTGCCTCCTTTTATTGTTTAGTTTTAGATCTTCAGATTATCTCAGAGAGTGGTAAAACCACCTTATGTAGTATTCTCTTTATTCCCAACTTTCTCCTTGTCTACTCCTTTGTAGTCTTTCTCCCACAGCCTCTGTCCTCCTTTAATCTCTGAACTGATTGTTCTCTAGATTGCAACACAGTTTTTCCTCCCCCTTCTGTCACAT